TGATTTTTGTGTATCGCAGCGCACACATCGTTCATCACATATCATACCACTGTTCTTGGAATTAGGTACAATTAATCACACTTACCGAAAATGCAATTTTTTTGCAAAGAACTCGCATAAACTATTCAGGGAACTCAAAAGCTATGTTTTGTACATTTCTCGAAGTAAATGATACTATTGCATAAAGCCTAAGGACGATACATTCAGATAGGAAAGTCACTAAATAAAAGAAAATCTTAAAGCTTTTTATGGACGATATTACTAATTTTTGAACATAAAAAAGGAAAAGTAATCCACAAATTTTTTTGTTTTTGCTAAAGTTTTGAGTAGTCGATCGTGACGAACAGGCTTGCGTAATTAAATCGATACTGACCTTTGCGCCGATCAAAAATATATATATTTGAAGCGATGCACATTTCAGTGTGCTAAATATATTCCAAAAATTTAATACTCCGCTTGTGATAGATGTAAAAATGTAGTAAAAAAAGAATTTCGAGCATTTAATCGAAAATTTTTAAAAATAAAGAAATAAGTAAAAATACTCTGACATTTTACGGATGATTCTTTACATCAACGGATTCTATGAAAATGCTAGATCTTTCAAGCAGAGATCAGCTTATACGTTATTCGTACGTTTTAGCATAAAAAGAGGTTTAGACGTTATATTTTAAAAATTTGTTAAAGTGCCTTCAAATGTACTCGACTTGATATGTCGTACATTCAAAAAACATAGAGAAAATGTGCTTCTGATGATGTTATTAGATTGCATAGAATAATACCAGCTAGGTTTTGGAAGATACTCTATATTTACAAAACTGTTACGCCATTTTTCTTAAACGATACACTGCTGCAACAGTCTAAACAAATCTCCTTTTACCATTTTTTTTTTCATATTTCAAGTACAGTACAACACAATTATGTTCGCAAAAGTATACTTCTTGACCATTGATCTTTTTATATTATTCGTGACTATTTATAGGGTAATTAGGCTAACAAAAAAAAAATAGACTGTCTGAAAAATTTCGGTAGTATTACCCCTTAAATATATTCAGACATTTTAGATCACATCATTCATCGCTACATTAACTTTGCGTTGATTTGATTAATTTAAAAATGTAAAAACAAACTATTTAGGCAAAACCGATTAATAAACACCTTAAACCTTTTCGATTAACAAAATTATTCATTCATTTTCTTGTTAATAATGAAGGGTGCGAAATTGCTCTAAGTGAACCAAATTTCTGGCATTAATTTGATAAACCGAAATATTCTTGCTTATAAATTTTTGTTAAAAATTTTTGAAAATTGTAATATTTTTCCATATAACGACTTCTTTCAATTAAGATGTTATATGAGGAGTGGTCACACAGATAGTCTGATCTAATTCATTTTCAATAATATTCAAACTTAAAACATATTCGTCAGAATATCAACAAAATTGCAACCTGGAGGTTGCACACAAAAACACGTGGAAGGACATTAAACGGATCGGCAGACATCCGAACAGAAAATCTAGGATCAGTTAAGAATCCTTGGGTATAAAAAGTCCAACTTAATGCCCTCTGAGCGTTTAATACATTCGCACAAACTTAATATACCCTATACCACAAGTGGCGCAGCGCACAATTAATGAAAGTCGTGAGATCTTTCGCGCTAAAAATCAGCCAATTAGTGGTTTGTAGCGAATATAAAAGAACTCTTCTATGATCAGCCTTGTGCAGTAAAAAATAATCATGATCAGATAAATTTTCAGGTAGGTGTTCATGGGTGCTTTAAAACGCACTTATACCGTTTTAACAATGATTTTAGTCTCTTTTCTCTGACGCAATAAGAGCAACCAAGAAAATACTGAAAATCTAGTGAGCATATACATTAGCGTATCATCATCAAAGAAACTTAACAATTGAGTACTAACCTTGTTTGTTCTTCCATATGGTAATACCTTAATACCTTAATTCAGGCGCCAGATGGACTTAGATTTTTACATTGGATGTGTTTTTATCATATATTATGCTTTCTATTGGTGTCTTTCACGACAATCTACACCTTTCGGAAATTTCCATGTGAAAACGAAACTCGAGTAACGAAAACACTACTAACTGACCAATTCAATTTTCGTGATATTTGTGGACGATCATTTAAATCGAGTTAGATGAGTTTTGAATTTTGTCTAACGAAAGTAAAACAGAAGAAGTTATTATTCTGAAGTTGTAACCATTATTAACAAACGAACATAGATAAGTGAACGTTGTCAACCGTGTTCCTCCCTCATCACGTTACCTATGAACTCACATTATATTCCTCTCAACTACAGATAGGGGTTAGATCAATTTACAAGACTTATGGTGCAACAATATAAAATGTTATTTAGTTATATACTCGCATTAGATGACGAAAAAATTTTTAATTGTTCTCTTTAAAATATGATCGTTTGTTTTTGAATTTGTGTCCACACATCAATACATATGCTCACGTATATAGAAAACGTTTTCTTTACCACAAGCAAAGCAAAAGCAAAGTCAATACATTACTAACCTACCAACCAGAACAACTTACATACCGTAAATTCCATTCTGTACAAAACTCAGTAATTTAGTTTACTTATGTATATATAGAAATTTTTGTGTTTGTATGAATGGATATGTAAATACATTTGTGTGAGATGAGCCAGTAAAGAATATAAACATAAAGAAAACTAATACGTTTTTGTTGGAATGATATATATCTCAACGGTCAATATATATACACGTACATTATTTATTTATTTATATGATATATAGAAATTTATATAAATGTTCATTTAGTTATATAAAGTAACATGTACCTGTGCGTGTAAACGAAAGAAAAAAGGAGGTGATTTCTTATAATTGATTCGATAAAAAAAGAAGAAAAGAAAACAGAAACATTATTCTAGATACATACAAACTAAAATATTTTAAAGTTCGGAGTACATATACATATGAATAGATGAACGCATCTCGCTGATTGCGAATATTTTGTTCCACTAAACGAATTGATTTTTCTATTTATTGTTTTTTTTGTTTGTTCTTAGTTAAGTAAAGAGAGAGATCAACAGCAGTACTTATATGTAGCCTGTGTGATATCTTAATTAGGTATAAATGAAATCCAGCATGCATATACATACGCACAAACATAAACAACAAATATAAAGTTGTAACAGAAAAGCGATGAATGAAAATCAAAATATTTGACAATGTAAATGCCATGAATTAACACGAATCAGATTTCATCTGTATATACATCTATGTCTAGATACACTTTTCTTTAAATAAATCGTTTTCGTTCACATTTCTAAATACAAATAAATGAGAATAATATGTTTGTATAAGAAAGCATAGTTTTTTCAACAGTTGCCTCGAGTGTTTAATACTGAAGCAGTAAGACGTGTTTAAAAACCTACTATCATAAGTGTTCATCAAAACTATATATATTTGTGTTTACACAAACAAGTTTGCATGGGCGCGAGTGTGTGGGCTAGTTTAAATATATAATAAACTGCCACAGTCCAATATAAACATACGCATTGACTGTACTAATTATAAGAATTTATATAAAATTTTATAGTTTAAATTAGTAATTTCACGTGGTGCCAATGTCACAACCCACGTAAATAAAGATGAGGAAGACGATGATGTTGATCGTAATGATACTTTTAACCAGTAGCCAACCCATTAAGCAAATTTTTTTTACATGCATGTCTACCCATTCGTTTAAATATGTGAACAAATTCACATGTCAATATAATGTGTGAAAACCTTAACGTATAGCGTATACATACATTTTGTATTGTTGTTGCTGTTGCTTTCATTTTCATTTTGTATACATATGTACGTACAAATTCGAAGGTATGTTATTTTAAACATTTTCAAGGTTTTTTTAAGTTAATATTTTTAGTTTTACATTTTCACCTTTTCAATGCTAACCATAATTGTTAAACGTACATAAAGAAAAGAAATAAACAAAAATCCCTTCACTTTCAATACATTCAGTAAAATTACGCACTTTGATGTTGTTTGATTGTTTAATTGTTGTTGTTGATAGCTAAATGTTCGCCAATGTCAAAGCATTGTTAGTAAAGATAGTTTTCACACAAACTGCATACATACTTAATTGAATATGAATAAATATGTAAAGATACTTTGCGTTTTTTTGCTTTCTTGTAGTTTTAAATCTACACTATAAATAAAACGTTTAAAATTGAAACAGATTCTGCGAAAACGTTATTTGGTATTGTACGTCTGAAGTTAAACTGAATATTAAGTGAGCTATTTGTCTACGGAACTAAGATTTTCGATTACGTTTAATGAAGAAAGACCTGCTGCATGACGCAGGCGCTTAATGCCGCACATTCATTTAACCCGTTACCAGCAAGTTAAACATTTTTGAAAAAAAAACGAGTATTCTCCTTTCAAATAATATTCAACGTTTTTGCACTACCATCACGACGAAAATGATCAACTTTAGCAAAAATTAAGGCGACGACAAAACATGTAGTTTTGTAAAATGAACACACACATGAACAAATGCAGTCACATTTTCTTTATTATGTTCAAAAAAAATCGGAAACGACTTTTCTAAATATCGCTAATATTCATTAGTGGCTAAAAAGGTAAGGAAGTGTAAAAAAGTACAGTAAAAATTCCGCTCAATAATTGATAAGACATTAAATTTCACATAACCAGATATATGAATAATTACATATGGGAATATTTTTAAACGACTTCACTAACCGCGACGCCGAAGTTCAACAAATTGAACCATAAAAATTAATTTTTTATTCGATTTTAGTCCCCTTAACATGAATGGTCGCAGAACGAACATAAAAAACCTAACACTACAAAGTTTATTCTACATCGCCATGACATTTCGAAGCACAGCACACCAGATGAGTAAATAAATTCTTTAATTTTTATCGTATAGTCCAACTATGTTTAACATATGCTTGTTACAAAACTTAACAATCCAAGCATGCAATTTACCTATTTACGGTCTTTAGCCGCTCACCGGATAGTTTACAGATGCCTTCACGGAAATTTTTCATAGAAATTTATTTTCATAAAAATTTGTTTGGTTCCAAAGTCGAGGTTCGATTAAATTTTCGCGCATCTTCATATTTGCAGAGTCGCAAATCTGCTAAACATCACTACATGAATATGCACCAGTGGTAAACACAAGCAGCCAAATTTGGACAATAATCCAGAGCCCAAGTTGAAGATCACTTTCTGACTCGATTTTACTGCAGAGGAATGGACACATGTATACAAATTTCATTGTTTTCTAGGCAAACAATTTTTGGTAGAAATTTTGCACTTTGTAACTGTTTCGTAGCTTACTACATTTCTACCTCAATCCAAGTTAAATATTTTCGTAGTTTCAGTTGCATTTTTTCCAACTCAATCCACTTAAAAAAAAGCAAACAACGTAAATGATAGGCACCTCTTTACTCTTTGACATACACTGAATGACATCATCATTCTCTAAGTTACTATACCGAAAATTTCAGAAAAAATAAACGCATCGCGCATGTTTCATGTCAGTTTTGCACCGGTTCATTAACATACACAAGTTGGTGAAATACAGCACAAAAAACTTGTACTGTACGTAAATTTTAAATTGCAAATGTAGTTTCCTACTCTACCGTTAAGTTCATTCGGCTCTATTTACTCATTATATTTCAGTTCTAGTATTCACGAACATTTTTGCAATTAAGTACTTTTGTTAAGAAAAGATCTCTTGTTTATATTTCCATTTATCAGGCAGTAATGTAAAATATGCAACAACTTATTAATTACAAAGATCGATTAATATCAGTTTTGTTAAGTGAAGGAATGGAAACGTTTGAAAGGTTTAAAAGGAGGCCAACTAAAGAACATTTGCAAACAGCAATGTCGATGTATCCATCACAGCAATTCAAATTAATCGGCCATCTATAGAGAATACCAAAGTATTAATTACATAACAATAGAAATTTGTTTACATGATAAATTAGAGCAACACTTCTTATTCTTATTTTCAAAGATAAGCAAGGTAACGATTTACAAAAAAAAATAAATAAATAAAGGAAAACAGTATCGTTTGTTGGATTTTCTGGCACTTTTTAACCAGCCTGCTGTATACATACATTACTCATATTAACCACATTACACTGTCTTCTTGCTATTTCGCTTTTCTACTGCTTTGTCGTCCATAAAAATTAATTTGAGAGAGCGTGACGCGGCAAGTAGGGTAGATATTGTAATACTTCCATTCTAATAGATGGTTGCATGGATTTGATCAGCGACGTCAATTGGCAAAGTATCAATGTGCATAACGATTAAATTCGATGTTATTGACATTTCTCTACATAAAATCATAGTTTTCGATTTAATATTATTGAGTTGTTCAGTGTGTATAGAACACTCATAATTGCATTTTCGTCGTTTATTACATTTGTTATTTGATTTGAAGAAATCTGCTGCCGAACCCCCTTCAAATACTTTTGGAACATTATGGTGATATTGCTATATCATTTCCAATTGTCAGTTTTGGTCTGGTGAAGTAAAAAGGTCCAAAAACAATGAATTGCAAAATTTATTGGCCGAAAACCCAGCTGTCTCTCTCGAAGGTCTTTCGAACAGTTTAGTAGTTGATGAATTAACTGTTTGTAGGCGTTTACATGTGATGGAAAAGATCCGAACGAAGCGAAAGTGGCCACCACAAGAATTGACTGAAAATGCCATTTGAAACCGTTTTAACATCGCGATGAAATTGGTCTCTAGGCAAAAAAGAAGAGTTTTCTAAGTCGTAATGTGACTGATGAAAAGTGGACTCTACTACAATAATCCCAAGCGCTGTAGTCGATGGTTAGTCCAGGAGAGCCATCCACATCGACAGTTTTGCTGGGCATATAGTGGGATCAGTAAGATGTAGTGTATTACAAGCTGCAAAAGCCGAATGAGACTGTTTCGATAAATGTTTAACGACGTCAAATGGACAAATTAAATTGAATTGGTCTTTTTTGCAACATTTTTGCAATAGAGGTTAACAAACGCAAAGTCACCCTCTTACATGACAACGCTTGGCTACACGTTGCAAGACTTATCGAGAATACCCTCTTGCAGCTCGTATGGAGAGTTCTGCCGCACTCGGCATACTCACCAGACGTGGAGCGTTTTGATTACCACCTGTTCAGGGAGATGTACCACGGCGTGGCTGGAACGCGGTTTCGAAATGTTCAAAAAGTGGGAAAATGAGTCGATGATTGGATCGCTGCCAAATCACGATACCGTATCGCCAAGTTGCCAGAAAAATAGGAAAAAGTTGTAGAAAATACTGGAAAATATTTTTATTAATAAATATTGTACAAATTTTTCTCAATAAATACCATTTGAAGTTAGAAAACGAGAAAAATATATGTAAACCCCTAAAAAATTTTCTCTTTTGGTTTGCTTTAATGATAGTCACTACTGGCCCTTTGCGATAAAAATGTACACTCTTCCACAACAAGTTTATAGGTATGAGATTTTGATTCACTTATATTTAATAAATAAAATTTACTCGTTTAAAAGAACGATCGTCTTGGCTCAAAGTGCAACAGCTATAATAAGTAAGTCTATTATCCATTTCCATTGTGCGTTATACGCAAGCGATATATGCAAAAAAACCCCAAAAATTTTTCTAAATAGTTTTGCAAAAGTGTTACTGAAAAAATTATTACTTAAATGTTGTAAAATAAATTTATTATTTGGTCGAAAAAACCTTTTCTTTTCACACACGTTTGAATAAAGTCGAAGTAAAAGAATTTTTTAAATGGAAATATAAAATAACGTAATATACTGATATCGCTCGCACCGATTGCTGGCAACTCTACAAATCATTTTGATTTGGATAGATTTTGTTTCGTTTACGTAAATTATTAAGAGTTGTGTTGTAATTTTTTTTCGACTCGTATTTTTGTTACTGCAATTTTTTATTTGATTATCGTAAAAGAGTTTTGCAAAAACATATAGTCTGCAAATTATTTCAATTTTGCGGTGGCTCCATAAGTAGCCCTAAATAATGATTGTGGTGTTGCGTCTTACGCGTGTGCCCTTAAACGCTCATCATGAGAATACGTTAAGACGCAGCTGTTTAGGGAACGCGTTGTGGCTGCACGCAACCTCGAGGTAAATCAATGTTAAACATTTCTGCCTGTTGGAAGCGTGTTAACTGCTTAGTTCCTTTCTCTACCTAAAGTAAATATGCCGAAACCGAAAAACAGATTCCTGGACTAACAAATCCCCCGCGAATTCCATCAGCTATGGAACCCAAAGCGGAATCACCAAAACGTATGCTTAAGCCGGGTTTTGAGAAACATGCAATCAAAAGTTTGAGTACCACGGAAAAGGAGATGGAACTTCCATTAAAATCTTCTTTAGACAATGTGACCAAAATTCGCGGGGCATCTAAAGTGAGTGATAATGTTCGTGGTTACGTCTTTACCCGTTATTTCGATTATGTTAGGGGTTACGATAAATTATTGGAAAAGAATTTTCCCTCAGCTATGAAAGTGTATCGCGTGTTTTTTGAAGGTGTTAAAGAATTCTTTGCGGACATGAAACGTTATTTGAAAATAACTCGTATAGTAAATTTTAAAGGTATAAAGTCATTGAACCGCCAAGAATTGGAATTATATATGCAAATGCCGAGGGATATGTTCAAAATGGCGCCCACTCTTATATTTTCAGCCCTACCCATGGTAGGCTACGCAGTTTTTCCTTTGGCGTAAGTCCTTTTCAAACCATCCAAATCCATCTGTATTACATTAGATTTCTTTTCAGTTTTATGTATCCGCGCGTACTCCTAACATCACATTTTTGGAATTATCGGCAAAAGCTGGAATTTCAGCACATGGAATTTCATAATCGTCTTACATATTATCTTCCCGTATTTCGATGCCTGCAAGAGAAATTGAGATATATAGAAAAACATCCAAAACATAAAGAATTGTCAATCATCCTTGGTCAAGTGGGTAGCGGAACACATCCCACCGTAGAACAGTTAATGGACGTCAAATCTATCTTTACTGAACCGCCATATAACCTCGTTTCCTTAAATCGAAAGCATATCGTAAGCAAATTTTATTTATTACTTTTGATGCTGCTACAACTGAAATCTTTCCCAGAGGATGCTTGTAAAAATGCACCAAGCTTCAAGAGGGATATTTAAACGTCATAGTTTATATGAGCATGCTTTTCTGCTTCATTATATGGATCAAGCCATATGTCGAGAAGGGGATGTCCATAATATGAATGAGAAAGCCCTTCGCAACGCCTGTCTTATACGTGGCCTCAATCCAAGTAACTTGCCTAAGGAAGAAATGATTTCCTGGCTTCGAGATTGGATTAAGGTCTCAGCAACAATTAAAGAGGATCATTTAACTATGTTTCTCCATTTGCCAATATTTCTAGCGTATAATCATCCCAATAACTGGCGAGTTGTATATGGTGGTGATCAAACATTCGATACAATGCCTTCATCGGAAGATAAAAGGAAACATTGATTACCATCCGGATCAATCTTTTAAGTTGGTTACTATGCTAAAGGTCTGAATAAGAAGTTATCTTAAAGATTATTCCTATTTCTTTTTTGACATAAAATGTCCTCGACAACTGTGTACAATTTATTTAAAAAATAAACACTTCCAAAGTGAGAGAGAAAAATTGATAGCTAGCAAATCAATTTTTTACATCTGAAAAGAAAGTGCCATTGAACATGACATAATTCAGCTGTTTGGAGTTAACTTAATATATAGACACACTGCCAAAGAGTTTCTTCTTAAAATTTAACGTCATTTATTTTTGTGTTTTAATTTCATAACTCATTTTTTTAGAATAGGTTTTTTTACACCTTGCGACTTCAATTGACGTATGGCCTCGCGCTTATCCTTCTTAAGTTTACGAACGCTACCATCTGCCTTAGTTCGTTTCTTTAATGCATTGAACGCAATTGTCAACAGCTTGTTTCGTTGACGTTTTGCATAACGCAACTTAAATCGATCAAAATCATTAAGTTGAGATCGCTGAAAATAAAAAAAATTAAAAACTGTGAGCAAGAATACCACCTACAATTTATTGATCATAAAAAAATATGGTCAGTAGAGAAAATGCGCTTCATATATGTATCAGCCGGCAATTCCTATCAAGAACTTCCATTATCATCACTTTCGACGCGATGGTTTCGATTAATTGTTACGAGATCTTACCTTGCAAATGTTTTGTGCTTTTTGCGACCAGGAGCTTACTTTCCATTGGCTCTTCAAATCACTTTCTTGCCACGCCTTGCGTACAATGCGTGTAGGAGCAGTATAGGGGAATTTTATCCTATATTTCGTTAAGTGAAGATTGTTTAGCCTACATTCTTGACGTGGTACTCCAGTTAGGGGCCCGTCAACAAGGACCTGCGAAAATTAAAGTTAAATATTTTTTTAAGCTGCTTTTACAAGTATTAATCTAGGATTTGATGATTTTTTGTGTATCCTACTAAGAATTCTTATATTTATCCTAGTAGTAAGCAAATGCATTTTTCACATAACTCTAGTTATGCATCTACTGGCACTTCCTAGGTTTTTTCACACCTTTTCGCGGGAATTGAATTGTTAATAGGTTTAACCACTCACCCTATTTTGATCAACTACATCGACAATGGCAACAAGTCGTCCCTTCAATGGGCCAGCCGAGCATTTAGCGATGCGTCCAGTTTGTACAAATCTTTGGAAAGGCTGGAATCAGACAAAGAATCATTTATTATTAACATTGTTCACCAGAGCCTAAAATTTGAAAGAACTATTTTTCCTTCTACCCTATTTTTCGAGGCAGCAAGCAATAAACACGTTTCCACCGTAAATGTTAGCAATCAAAGCCATATTTCAAGACAATGTGCAGTTCCATTTATCTTTCTTACTTACACATATAATAAATCAAAGCAACTTAGGAAGAATTTACAATCATTCTCACCCGCTTATAAAAATTTCAGTTAATCAAGGAGCTTAAAACACTTACCATGATTGCTAAACCGGAAAGAAAGAGAAATATGTAAGATGGCGTCGAGTCATAAAATAAAAACAGTGCTCCCAATTCAACATTAGTGCTAGCGAAAATATGGTTGCCTCTGTCAAAAATTTAAAATGTAATATATAAGCAAACTTTGTCTTATATTTATAGGTCTTCGCTGTAGGATTCTTTGATCTATTGTGAATATTAGTATTTTACTAATCTAACTTTCGACCACCTGAAGTTAAAACTTCGGTACAAACAGGTATTTCCCCTGTCCTTTAAATATTTTTTGAAATTTGTACAAAATTTATAATTAATAAAAATTAAGCAATACATTTTCTCACAGCTATTTATTTATTTATTTATCACAAAGAAACTCGATACAAGCAATTTGGGGAGAAAATAATATATGCGTAAGCGATAGCATAACCTTAAAATACTTAATCTATATCTAATAGAATATATAACTTTAAAATACTTAATCTATATCTATGACTAGACTATGCGCAAACTATGTTGCTGTGAAATAAAATGTGTATGATGGAAGGTTTACTTATCTCTAAATAAGTTTGTAATTTGCGATTTCATAACAATACTTTTCCAAATACTTTTGTAGAACATTGATTTAGGCCAGTTGTACAATAAACGATGTGAATGCTTTGCCTTTTATTTGCTTACATTTAAATTTGTGAGAATTTACAAGGGAGCACATATTGCAGAAAACATTTCTTTTTTGAATCAATTCAAATGTTCATAGTAATATTCTCTTTTTCGATTTAATTCCTGTAAATGCTTTCTAATTGTCCCAATATATTTTTTTTTTTTCGTTAAAATGCAATTTATTGGACGTAAATGCTCATCGCAAGATACGTTTAAAAAAAATAAATGTGTGATTAATATCAGCTGGCTTTGTATTAAATACGTTACTGTAAACTTTTTATTCTTATTTCTATGTGCTGCAATGTTGTTGAGTCTGCTGAGCATCTAATCTTCAGATGTCACAGGCTTGATGGCATTAGAGATTCCTTTAGCTTCTTCAAGTTATATGGCTGTCTCCTCGATCTCTTTGCAACAAAAAATGCACGTCATCTCGGGGAACTAACTTGCTTTATTATAAAAGCTAATTTATCCTTTTAGAATTTTTTTTTTTTCCTCTTCTTTCCTTTTTTTTCTTTCGTTTTTGCGTTTAATAATCTTCTATTACCATAGCATTGCTTTTCGTTTTCAGCAAAGTTTGCAACACTGTTTAACTTTCAAGAACTCAACAAGCACAATTACACACACACATACACACACACACAATTACATTTAACATGCTCACTCCAGCTGTTACGGCCGCTCTTATTTTTTTGTTACGTTTTATACATAATCGTGACTAAAAATTACAACAGTTTATTATTTGGACATATAAGCTACAAATCTATTGGATTAGTCCATCTCTGTTCAACATACCAAAAAAAAAAAAAAAAAAAAAAAATTTCTATATGCAGTAAATTCGACAACACTAAACATTCATTAGAAATTTTTGATATCTATGATAATCTATATGAAATCTTTTGTGCTCGAAATAAAACTCATTCCATCAGCTGACTTCTTTTAGGTTATAATTATAACCATACTTTTTGTCTTTATAGGATTTTTAAAAAATTTTTCTAATTCCATAAATCTTCAGAATGGACAATATTGAATAGACTATTACAATTTGAATATCAACTAATCGACAGAGATTAACATCATTGTATCGTCAATAAATTGATTATAATCATCACGTGATCTGCATCATCTCTTTTTCTCTGCTGTTACCTTTATTGCAGTTATCAACCTGAAGCTCTACAGGAGATTTTGTGTTAAAAAATCAACGTTACTGGACGTATACGTCTTACCATTTGTAGTTTGATCAATTCTTTTATATACCAGAAAAAGAAGAGTGCTGCAGTTGAACAAACCCAAACCGACTTCAGTCAACTAAGAAAAAATTAATTAATTAAATAGCTTTATTAAGGTTCAAACAAAGAACTTCGGGTTCACATCGAACAGATTTGTTGAATTAGTGAAGAAGAATCAAAAGATATTATTGTAAAAAATGCATGGAGATAAAGACGTCGATAAACCGAAGAGCCACCGTGCGAGGCAATCTGGTGTTAAGGCTGACAAGAAAAAGCTGAAGGCCAAGAAAGATTCTATTCAAAGGGAATCCCATATAACAGCTCGACAGCGGAATCCCAAAGCATTTGCCATCAATTCGGCCCAAAAGGCCGAACGTAATTTTCGGCGCAAAGAAGACTTGACTACTAAAAAACAGCATATACCTTTAGTGGAGCAAATGCTCGACAAACCTCCTCCTATACTAATAGGTGTTGTAGGACCACCAAAAGTCGGCAAAACTACGTTAATATGTAATTTGATAAGGAACTTCACGAGAACCAATGTAAGCACTACGCAGACGCAAATCAAAGGTCCAATAACAATGGTAACCTCGAAGAAGCGGCGAATAACGCTTTTAGAATGTAATAATGACATTAACTCCATGATTGACGTGGCCAAATGTGCAGATTTGGTACTATTATTGTGTGATGCCAGTTACGGCTTTGAAATGGAAATTTTTGAGTTTTTAAATATTTGTCAAGTGCATGGGATGCCTAAAATTATGGGTATTCTTACACATTTAGATATGATAAAAAATCCGAAACAACTGCGCAAGAGGAAAAAGGACTTAAAGCATCGCTTCTGGACTGAGGTATACGATGGGGCTAAGCTTTTTTACTTATCAGGCTTGTTGCATGGCGAGTATTTGCGAAATGAGATCAAAAATCTTGGACGATTTATATCAGTCATGAAATTCAGACCATTGCAGTGGCGTGGAGCTCACAGCTATGTATTGGTAGATCGTGTCGAAGACATAACCAATACTGAAATGCTACGAAGCAATCCAAAATGTGACCGAAATGTCGTTCTGTATGGTTACGTTAGAGGGGTACCGCTGAAACAAGAACATATGGTTCACATTGCAGGTTTAGGAGATGTTCGTATCGATGAACTGACTTGCATATGTGACCCTTGTCCATTACCCGGTTTCGAGAAAAAGCGTTCTTTGCTGGAAAACGAACGCTTGCTTTACGCACCAATGTCTGGCATCGGTGGCATTGTGTATGACAAGGATGCAGTTTATATTGAGTTGCAAGGCTCACACAGTCATAAGCAAAAAAATGTAGCATCTACCGAGCAAGAAGAATTGATGGGAAAGCTAATCGAGAAGAAACAAACAGTAGATAAGTTAGTGGATGAACAGGAATTTCGATTATTTTCAGATGGACAAGTCATTAAGTCGAAGGATTTCAAAGAGAACGGTTACTATGATAACGACGAAGATGTTGGAAGTGGTGATAAAGAAGAGGTAAGCGGCATAATATAAGTACAAATTTTAAAATAACATCCCAATATGATTAGAATGATTCTGGGGTCGGTAACAATGAGGAGGATACTACTGATAAAGAATTTCTTCAAAACGACTGGTGTAGTGGTAATGATGATGACGACGACCAGCAAATAAATAAGAATTCAGAAGAGTCATCTGACGATGATGATTACCAAGATTTTGACAGTACCAGTAGATCTGGAGATGCTGATGACGATAATGATGCGATTATAGCCGATAGCATGAAGTGGAAGGAAAATTTAACTGAAAAAGCAAGGGAAGATTTTATGCAACGTCATTTGGAATCAAAAAATTTAATGCGCCTGGTGTATGAATGTTATATTCAGAAAGAACCAAAAACGGCTGAAGCAGAACAAAAAGAGAAAGATTTCGAGGACGAAAGTAATGGTACTTTCAAATTGGTAGCAAAAAAGCAAAATGAATTGCAGAAAGAAGGGGATATATGGGATAAAGAGGAGAATTGCTTCTTCAATGAGAATCCAGGTAAGTATAAAACACAAAACGTGAATGATCAAGGATTTAAAGGGAATATATATTTGTAGGTAATGTACGAAACTGGCTGGATGAAGATAACAGACAATTTGTTAAGAACTGTTTCGTTACTGGAAAATGGAAAGCATCAGAAGACGCTCAGACCTTGTTGCGTTTAGAAGACATGAGCGACGCTGAAAGCGAAACGTACGGAGACTTTGAAAATTTGGAAACGCATGAAAAACAAAGTGGTAAGTCTCCGAACCAGAATGAAAACCAACAAGATGGTTCGAGTATTTTGAAACGTAAGGAAAGAGGGGAGTTGAACCGAGCAGAAGAAGAAAATCTTACCAAAGCTGAATTAATGGCTAAAAAGTTGAAATTGAAGGCTAAATTTGATGCAGAATACGACCAAAAAGACGAAAAATTAGATGATGGTCGAATTATTGGGGATCATGCTTACTATGATGAATTGAAAGCTGAAACACAAAAACAGTCTGAAATTAACAAAAGTGAATTCGAGCATTTGGATGAAGACTTGCGAATTCAAATCGAAGGATACCGAGCTGGTCTCTACGTGCGCTTACGTTTCAAAAGCCTTCCTGCTGAATTCATACAACACTTTGAGTCTAGCTATCCTCTGTTACTCGGAAGCCTTAATATGATCGAAGAAAACGTGGGGTACGTCAATTGTAAAGTGAAGAAGCATAGGTGGTACAAAAGGATTTTGAAATCAGGAGATCCAATTATCATATCAATGGGCTGGCGACGCTTCCAAACTATAGCTGTATATGCAAAAGTGGAAGACAACTTCAGACATCGATTTTTAAAGTATACTCCTGAACATGTCACGTGTAGTATGACATTTTGGGGCCCCATCACGCCACAGAATACCGGTTTCTTAGCTTTACAAACAATGCGTTACGACCAGGAGGAATTAAAGAGGATTGGCTTCCGTATTGCTGCCACAGGGTGTGTAAGCGAGTTGGATAAGACTTGTCAAATAATGAAAAAATTGAAACTCGTTGGGCATCCCTTTAAAATATATCGCAAATCTGCCTTCATCAGAGGTATGTTTAACAGTCAGCTAGAAGTGGCAAAATTCGAAGGAGCTCGTATCAAGACCGTTTCTGGGATAAGAGGACAAGTAAAGAAAGCTCACCACACACCTGAGGGCTCATTTCGTGCTACTTTTGAAGACAAAATCCTGCTAAGCGATATTGTGTTTTGTCGTACGTGGTATCGGTTCGACGTTCATCGTTTTTATGCTCCTGTTACAACGTTATTACTGCCGGCAGAGCAAAAACTGCATTGGCAAGGAATGAAAACTTTAGGACAATTAAAACGGGAACGTCAGATAAGAAATAAAGCTATTCCTGAAAGTCTCTATACCGAGATTAAACGCGAACCCAAAGCTCTCAAACCTTTAGTTATACCCAAAGCTTTACAAAAAGCTCTGCCTTATAAAGATAAACCCAAATTTGGCCCTTTGAACCCGAAACGAAAAGAAGAGTCTGTCGCTATTATACGATCTCCTTACGAGCAAAAGGTAGCGAAACTTATGAAGATGATCGAGACAAATTACCGAGAGAAACGCAACAAAGATCACCAAGAAACCAAACAGCGCGTTAAAAAATTTAAAGCAAAGCGACGAGCCGAGGAAGCCTCGAAATTCAAGCGACAAAAAGAACTGCGTAAAAAAATATCAAAAGCTATAAGTAAAATTCGTAGCAAACAAAAGAAGAGATAGTTTTATTACAAAGTTAAAGTGATTTGCTATTTATTTTCAATATGTTTGGTGTAAATTGCCAAAAGCTTAAAGCGTTACGTCAATATATATACTATAGCAACGAATCTAAAAAAGAGTGAGGTAAATAAATTCAATTTTTTTTTTTTAATTGATGCAAAAGCTTAAATTCTTTAATCCTGGCTCTTGTTGGTATCGATGGCTTTTAGTGCAGCTAATAGTTTATGTTTGCGATTAACGGGAATCTTATGATCTGCTGCATTAAATATTTTGGGGTTATCATCCTGCATAATACCACTGGTCGCTTGCCGGCAGAACGTATCAAGGAATGCCTCACGTTCTTTATAGTCATTGGAAATCTGTTTGCGTATTGTAGATATTTCTTCTTTCATACGGCTCTTTTTGCCAGTCGTAGGAGTAATGAACTAGAAATAAGAAGCGAAAATTCCAATTTGTTTCTAAATTTAGATGAGCGTGTGATCTTTTTGTTTCTTAATTAAACCGATTGGCATTTTACCTCTACTTTGCTAGATTCATTATAAAATTCTTCATTTTCATAAGTCTGGTCATTTTCGTCTGCGTCGCCGTCAATATTTGCCATAAAACCTCCTCCATTTTCATCGGTTTCTTCGTCCAATTGACCTAAGGTTTCATCGGCCGTATCTTCGGTGGAATAGCGTGCCTCGTCGTCAGCATTTTCATATTCATCCTCATAGTCAGGTTGCAGTTTTTCCGGTTTTGGTGGAGATAAAGCTGACAAAGGCTGTTGTTGTTGTAGTGTTGATGATTTTAATGAGGTTTTTGGAACTTTATAAGTTTCTTCTGAGGTATCTCTTTCTGTCTGATTAATGCGTCTCAGTACTGCGACTGGTTTGGTGGGAGCAGTTGTTTCCTTTTGTGGTTCTGGAACTGTAGGTGTGACAATTAAATTTTTGGTTGTACTGTTCATTTTTTTGACGGCCCGGGTCGTACGTTGCGTTTGTACATTTGTGCTGTGACTCGAGCGATGAGTAGTAGGAACCTCGGTATCTTCTGCAGTGTCACCATCAGTGTAAGGCGATTTTTCTGATATTTTATCATCTTTATGTTCCTCATTCCCTCCCGCTTTATTTCGTCTCATTTGCATATTAAATCTCTCTTGGAGCTAAGCGTTAAAGTTGCGAAGGATAACGTTATGTCAAAGTAAAATATTATAAATAATTAAAGTATACCTGCAATTCCTCCAGCTTGCGGAAACCAGACAATTCTAAACGGGACTTTTCCAATTTCATCATGACCTCCTTAGTTTTTCGCTGTTCCATCTGCAAATGCTGTTTGAACTGTTTCGCCTCTAGCTGAAATTTGCGGGCCATCATTTTTATATCATTTTCTTTTTCCTGTAAACGGGTCTCTAACGCTTGCAGTTTTTCCGTTAAGCGCTGCCGATCTTCTAAGTTTCTGTAAAGGAGAAATGTTTCTTTTTTTTAATTTGTTCATCGAAAGATCAATTGCTTTCAATCACTTGTCCTTATTAAGCTGTATATAATATTTATTCTGATCGGACAGCGACAATATCAAGGACTCCTTTTGTTTTAGTTTTTGTTCCAATTCTTTGTTCGTTGCTTGTAGGTTTCGATGCTTCGTTTGCCAAACTCTTAATTCCTCGGCATGCGAGTGTAGCAATTGTGGAAGCTCGGCATTTGTAGATTCATATTTAGCTAAGGCGGAATCCTGACGTTTATGCAAGGTGCGTAACATTCGATTTTCATGAGCCAATTCCTAAAAGAATATTTTTGATGAAAATATTATAAGCAAAATCGTGTATTTTTTGTAATCACCGCAATGGTCTGTTGTGCGTCCGCCAATTGGTTTTGGAAAGTTTTCATACGCAAGCGACGTGCAGAGAGCACTCGTTGGCGTATTTCATTATTCACTGGTACAACTGAGGGTTGGCGTACAGCTGGCCCACGTCCCACCGGCCGCTTAGCTCGATAAATTATGTTAGCCATACTCTTTGAAGAGCAATGAGAATGAACGCTTTCGCAGCTTTTGACGTTGACACTAACATCATGAAAATTACAAAATGATAAAATGTACGTGTTCTCATGTCTATTTTTGATTGACATACGGATTCGATTTTTCCTCTTCCTGAACCAAACTTAAGCATGATGATGCCTTACGTGGCGAGACCATTTGGACGTTATTGTTTTTCGGATAAACAGCAAATTATATAAATTGAAATGTAAAAAATATCTTAACAAAAATATATTTGAGGTGTTGAAGTGTTCTTCTCTTTTGCAAAATTTTTGAATTAAATTTTTTAAAATTTTTAAAGTTTTTATTCCGTTTGATTGTAAAGTCAACACTACTTTGGTAAACGATTATTAAATTGGAAATTAATAAAAGTAATTTAATGCTTGTACGCATCTTGTTTATGACGCTGGCTAGTTGTCTTAGCGACCGAATACCCTGCATTCAATGCCATGCATATTTCAATACACAACCATACTATAAGCAGCGCTAGAAACAAACTAAATGGACAAGAATATGCATTGGATATGATGTGTAAAATTCTTAATAAGACTCTAGTCAATCGAATCGAAGGGCGGTCTTGGCATAGTTTAGTTAACTTCTGAATACATACGTCTTTTAATTACATGGCGTACATTTGCTCCTGAAATAAAGGTTGAATGCCAAGACCGATCATCATTTCCGTTTTTACTTTTGAAACTTTGAACATTAAAGTATTGATAATAATAAAAATCTTTGCCTTACCTAATGTGAGTTCGTGTTATTCGCATCCGTCACTCGAATACCTCTCATCCACGCAACTCGATTAAATTACTCTATTAGTCGATTTATCTGATTTCTCAATTTGGAAAATGAATACGAAAAATTTGCCTAAAAGCCGAAGCTTTTTTCCATTACACAAACTTTCCAGGCCATTATCATGTTCATATAGTCACAGTGACTTTAACCATGGACATGCAGGCAGGAATGGCAAACTCTAATCCCCATATCAAATATATTTGGTTTTCCATTTTCTATTTTAATGTTTGTACGTTTATTTTCACAACAGAGCACAAAAAGCGATGGATATACCACACACAACAGAGTGAGTGTGTCTCTAATGCACATTTCGTGATATTAAAAACAAAAGAAATTTTAGTATACCCATATCTTTCGATAATAGGCAAACATCATCTAAGTTTCGGTTACAGTATACAGAAATTGTGTTGAAATCTTTAATTTTTAAATTTTTTCTTATTTACATTTAAATGTGAAGGAATTTCCACTGTGGGATATTGAAAAGAAAATATATTAAATAAATATTGTTTATGATTTATACAATCATCTATAAAAGGTTAAAAAAATAATGTACAAATATTTATAATATATATTGAGTATTGGCGTAATGGGTGTCTGCCTTATATTTTAATTTCGGGGTTATGGACGTGCGAATTGATAATGGGTACTAATAAGACGCAGGTCGAAAATAATTTATTTCTTATTCTCCCTTAAAAATAATATTTAGCACTTGTTAAAACGAAGTCATCTTCAGTCATCTTTTTCATCTTTGCCGTGCGGATAAAGGACGTTGACTAATAACTCAATAGTCATGAGTTCAAATCTGAAGCGCGTTAGAATCTTGAATAAAGTCGGTAACTATAGATATTAGGGATGTAAGATTTTAGTTTTCGATTTTTTTTCTCTGGCTAAATTAACTATAATAATGACCGAATTTGTGATCGAATTTTTTATACTCACAGCTATTATTCTATTTCTGTAGAATATTTTTGTGCTTACTTCGTGTATATGTGTAGCTTATGAGCAACGAGTAAGAGAGTGGGAAAGCAAAGTGTTCACTGTTCTTGTTAGACGGTCGTGTGGGATTTGTAAAATGTGGTTGCTAGAAATACAACCTTGCGTTATATATTCATTTTATTGACGAAAAGCAAGTTTGATGTGGCGAGATTTCACAGGTGAGGTTTTCAAGATACTATAATTCCGTGGGTTTAACAAGTGGGATAGAGAGAAAAAGAGAAGAAAAATTAGCAGAAAAGTTGAAAAAAAGATCTTTTTTTGAACAACAAAACAATCAAAGTAAAGTAAAACCAAAAAGTAAAGCGTATCTCCACCAAAATTAATTATATAGACAGGCTTTGAAATTTTTGTGTAGTTATGGGATTTGCAAAATTCAAAAAAGTTTGACTTTTTTTGATTGAAGATAAGAAAAAAAAATAGTACGGCGGTGGAATAGATTGCCAACGGTCAGAAATATTATCGCGTGTTTGACATTGAATTGAAGGAACTCATCGATCTTTGAAAGAAATATATAAGTTTGTGTATAAATTATAAAAACGAAGTAAAGAAAAGTTAATTATTCTTAATGGGAAAAAATGTACTACTATAATTAGTGGATTACAAGTGCATTTTATTATTAATAACCAGCGACATGCAATGACTGGCCTTTATTATAAAGAGAGAGAGAGAGACAAATTTGTCTTTTAAAATTAATAAATCAAAAAGAGAAAGCTAAACATATATTCCACTGTTAATAATTTACATCGTACCAACTCGTAAATTGGTAAGCGCGCATATATTTTCAATGCTTTATAATTAATAAAGTAAATTCGTTCTGTAAATTCAGTTTTAACTTAAAATATGAAAGAGATTGCTCAAGAGTTGAATGCGACTAGCGAAGGACGATTTCCGTGTTAATATGAAATTCGAGTACATTTTTGGTTGAATAAAACAAAATTGGTAGCATCAATAATAAAATAATAATTTTGCTCAAGAGTTGAATGCGACTAGCGAAGGACGATTTCAGTGTTAATATGAAATTCGAGTACATTTTTGGTTGAATAAAACAAAATTGGTAGCATCAATAATAAAATAATAATTTTAGTGAAACATTAACTTCGATAGTAGCCTGTCAAGATTTGTTATAAAAGTTTTATAATGTAAGGAAGAATTCGACAATTTAAGTAGAAAAGAAACATATAAGTGTGGCCGCATTATTATATGTTAAAAAAGACAGAAAGATTTCTTAATTCAGATAAAAGATTTCAGCATGGCGATTCGCGACCCGACTATTGTTTAAAACTTTCCACGTTTTTGTCCGTCCCGAGAGATTTTCCATGTTTTATCCGATAGGACCACTTGTCCGTCCCTACCTGCATTCTATTCGTTTTTATTGCCCCTAACCGTTTCACCCCGTCGCAGAAGAGAGTGTCCCTCTGTCATTCAGGGATGACGACTAAGCTGAGCCAGCCGTCCCCTATCCGTAAAGTCAAAAAAAAATATCCCTGTCGGTGACGTCAAATATATATGTTGTCTGTGATTACTTAGCTCTGGCTGCGATAACACGACTGAAAAGATGAGCGTATTGCAACACGCTCTTTTATGGTCGCGACCACCATCGCTGTCCCGTTACGTAGATGTTTTGACTATGCCTGTGTTACAATCTCAACTCTTACTTGTATGCGTATTATAATGCTACTCTTACGTATATCTTGTTATTAATGCTATCTTAAGTACCAAATCGTGTCATCGAAAAAGTATAAAAGCCCTTAACGATTAAATGTGCTAGCTGTCAATATACAAGCATGACAACACCAGTAAATCGAAAACTTTCGAGACCGTTGATACATGATTTGCAAAACCACAAGATCGTTAGGTATGTGGCTTTGCATAATGTGAATAGTTCAATGCTAAATGTAGCTTGTTGAGAAGTAGAAGTAAAATACGTATGAAGGTATATAGGCATGTTGCCCAGCGAATTGCAACTTGTTTATCGAGAACATTTATGACCTGTTTCCCCAGGAAAAGATAAGATATGGTTATACTTACGTATATTACTTATGTGTGTATTACTTGTACATATATTATTGCTAGGCATATTTTTCTGAAGACATAGCATGCAACGTATGTTGCATAGTTCTGATACAATGAGTTTTTTTTCTTTTTTTCTTCTTTCGTCTTTTTACATGAATCTAAATTACCAAGGGTTTGTGCGGGAGAGCGATGATCTCACATTAGCGTAGAGTGAATGTTTTAGGGTCTAAGGATAGATATTTGTGCGGATGGATTTACCATCAGAAAGGAACCAAAACGGCTCCTTACGGCATAATTAGAAGTAAATAAATTAAACTGTAACTCTTATATATTTTAATATATTAAATTCTGGATAATATATAAAGAAAAAAAAAAAAGTTTTTCTTATATATGAGAAGAATTTAGTTTACGGCTCCTCGCACCTAACTTCGGGGTCTCCTGTAGATATCATCAGCCGGGGAACAGAATTAGATGGGGCATAGTAGAGAGTGGATCGGGACTCGAAATGCGCCCGTAAGATAGGTTTCGTCCGTCCGTCTGATCGAATAAGAGCTAAATATGTGCTATTATCTTAAGTGTAAACGGCAGAGGAGTGACAGCAAGACAAAATATAAAACCTTCCCACATGTCCCGAAATAACTAGCTCAGCTGAGTCGCGTACGACTGTCATCACAGCCTCCGACTCTCGGTAAACGGCACTAAACAGCGGGCCCCGAATATATTAAAGTCCATTTTCCATTAGTTGGACATATGTGAAGAATTTATAGATATAGTTGTTACAGTTTGTAGACGAGTTCTTTGAAAAGTTTGACAAATTTTCTAATTCTTTCGCAAATTTGTAGGCAATGTCTTCACTTTTGCAAACGGGTAAATGTTCACCACAGATACTACACAGCTGCACATGGGGGAAATAAATAGACAGAAATGCTTAGTTGTGCTCAGAATTGGAAACCGGCTAAGAACAGACATACTATGACCGTTTCCTACGACAAATTTCGTCCATTTTCAATACCAACCTGCGTGCGAGAATTTCCGATATGTCTACCAAATTTGAAGTCGATAGCTGTATTTTTGGCGGCCAACCTTAAACCCATTCAGGATTTAATATTGATTGAGAATAAATAGACTTTCTGGTGTGTCTGGAGCTTTGCCAACGTTATGACAAAATGAATATACCCCTGATCCTTCGGTGAAGATTATAAAAAATGTAAATAATAATAAGTTAAATATTAAGAAAATAATTTCTCGTAGAAATGTGTAGTGTAGAGGTAGCTTAAACAGTGCTTTACAATTTATTTTTGTTATTAAAACTGATATAGAATAAAAGTGCTACATAAAATAATTTATCTAAATTTTTTTTTGGACAAGTGATTGACTTGTAAGATTGGAGAAAAAAAAATCAAGGAAAGATAGTCGGAGCTTTCATAGTTTCGTCGCTGTTTTAATGAATAAAAATAAAAAACCTTATAGAGAGAACTACGTACATGAACTGACTTCAAAGATTTATTCGCTTAAGTTATTTTGCGTATTTCTATCGATGTGTGTCTGTACGGTGTAACGAAGCGGTTTGCTTCCTTACTAATAACCGGTCCGTCCGCTTAGATGTCTATCCGTAGACCCTAGTAACATTCAGCCCAGCTCCTTCGTCCGCGCGAAAACCCAAATACCGCTGGGTAGGGCACCCGGTCATCCGCCTCTGGCACCAGCGTAAGTTGAGAGACCGTTAACCGCGCAAACGGCAAACTTATAGAACATAAACACTTCACAAAGGTTGTATAAATACACACACACGAGTATAAAACATGTGTAAAAGGGTCAAAATGTATAAAAGCGGTATAACATCAGCAAAATATATAAACACACATACGGGCATAAAATAAAAGTCAAATGTATATAATCTGTATAAAATCATGACAATACATGAACATACGCATGAGCATAAAATATGTACAGAATCTGCATAAAATCTGTATAAAATCACGTTAATATATGAACACCCACACGAGTATAAAATATGTATGGAATCTGTATAGCATCTGTAGAAAAATATTATAATATATAAGCACACACACTGTGGATAAAAGCGTAAAAATATAAAAACACATATAACACTACACATTACTGTATAAACGCCGTTAGGACCTAGGAACTCTTTAAAATGTATAAGCACATGCGATCATAAAAATGCGCATAAACTTTAGAAACAATGTACAAAAATGTATAGCACCGCTAGGTTATATAAAATCTTTAAGCAATGTACAAAGGTGTATAGCGCCGTTAGGGCATACAAAACATGCAGGAATAAACACTTAGGTAGAAAAATAAAGGGATAAGCATACACGATCATGCAAAACGCATAGACTCTAGCAACCCTCAAACGTCTGTATGCTTTAAAATGTATAAGCACATGGGATCATAGAAAAGCGCATAAACTTTAGAAACAATGTACAAAAATGTATAGCACCGCTAGGTCATATAATATCTTTAAGCAATGTGCAAAGTTGTATAGCGCCGTTAGGGCATACAAAACCTACAGGAATAAAAACTTAGGTAGAAAAATAAAGGGATAAGCATATAAGCACGCACGATCATGCATCACATATAGCAATGTATGTCAACATACAGTCACCTGTATGTGCAAAATGTGTAAGCACATACTGCTGAAGCACACAACATCATGCATTACTGGGTAAACACCGTTAGGCCATATAAAAATCTTCAAGCAATGCGCAAAATGTATAGCACCGTTAGGTCACACAAAACATAAACACTTAGGTATAAAAATGTAGAGCACATATGAACATATGAAAATGCATAAACTGTATACACACACATGAGGTTAGGAATAGGTGGAAAATGCATAAAAATGTAAAAAGGCGTAGGATCACACATGCCAAACATG